AGGAGTTGATCAGTAACTAATTCACCAACATAATTAATAATATGAGCTGGAGGGCTAACATGGGGAAAATGACGCTCGATCGCCACCCTCCAAGGCACGGCTTGGTCGGAAACCCCTCGGTATCTCGCTGAGGATCGAAGCAAGGCGACATAATGTTGCCTTTGAAGTTGGGCCCGTCGTAGCATCGGAAACAGCTCTGTGTACTCTTGCCCAGGTTTGTCGGGGTGCGGCGTTTGGCATCGCCAGAGAACATCCGGAACCCCTGAGAAGACGTGTTAATCAGAATCCGAGGCCCTTGAACATAGAACTTACCGGTTTAAAGGCAGTCACTGCGCCCTTGCCTGGAGAGCTGTAGTAAACAGTCATCCCGCCGTTTGCGGCGCCAATGGCGTCGTTGACCATGATTGGCACGCGCTTGAAGGTGCCGTTGCGCGCCTTGAAGTACACGTTGGCTGTCCAGTAGTTGGAGAAATCTTCCTCATAGGTACAACTAGTGCACGTGGCGACCTGGGAGATATCGCCCACAGGCATGGATGCATTGAAGGCGTCCTATCGTAGGTGATCGGATGAGTACATGGCCAGACTTAAAATGGACGGAGACGGTATAGGCAGGTAGGTAGGTACATACTCCTCCAATGATCTGGTGAACATGAGGTGAGGGAATCTTTCCAGGATCGACCAGACTATAAGGTAGATAACGTCAGTACCCCGGGATATCTCGCCCCTCGGTTAGACAAATATCATATAAACAATCTACTTACGGATCGATGCGGTCGATGACAATGTTGGAGCATCCAAACCGAAGCATAGCGCTACCGCCGCTCTGGGCTTGCGCAGCAGCCGCGAAGGCAAGAAGAGAGAGCCAAGCAGAAGGTGCCATATTTTCGGTCAAGTGCACACGCACATGGAACGGGTTTGGTTGACGTCGCAAGAAATTATTCGGCTGCAGGAGCGGAGCACAGCTTATATGTTAGCTATCCCCGCTGTTCATGTCTTTAGTTATCTAGGTACCGTATTGATTGCCGCGCTATGGCAAGCTTGTTATATCATGGGGTCATTAACATCACAACATCACTCTGGGTATTAAAGACTCCGCATATTGTTGCCCAACGGTCCTAGCCGTTTTGCCGCGGCATATTTTCTAAGTTCTTCGCAGCAATTTAGAGCTTGGCACTAACATCCGCACCCCAATATGTACAGCGGCGTTGACTGACAGGATGGGTTGCTTGAAAGTATTCTTTGACGGCCACTCGAACGCGACGTTGTCAGAAGTGTCATGCAGCACTGGTTGATCAAATGACACTACTTGGCGTACTTTGCCACAACGGTTTTATCTGGTCCCATCCCCCCTTTTTACCCTTTCTTTAAAAGAGCTGCATCACACTTTCCAGGGGCCAAGGCTTTGGCGATATTGTGGATGATTTACTCCGTAGATTTGTGCCTCCTCGGCGGAGGGAGCATGTTTAATTGGTGCTTGGCAGACTTGGCCCTGGATGAGTCCGAACGGTAGCTGCTCTTTGCCATCTCTGCTCTGCCGGCACTTTACTTGATTGCAAGTGGACCTCATTACCCCGGTCTTGGCAGTAAACCAACCTGATTTTTCTGGCCGCGATGGTTGTCGCCAAGAGCCTGCATCGTTCTGGTCTCACAATCAACTAAGAGCAACTTTCATGGAATGACATTAAACACAAGCTATAAAGGTAATCAGACAAAGTATCATCCGCTGCAGACCTACAAATTGAATACATCTTTGTGATTATGGCGTTCGTCAGCATAGATATTGTCGAAATTTTCTTTGCAATCATACTGTATCTAGTTCAAAATCTCACGGGATTTGTCAAGGGTTCTTGGAGTTCTGTCAAAAAGGATACCCTATGCCTCCTCTAGGAGGGGGTTATTTCAGCGCCTAACCAGTTGGGCAGTCTAAAATGAATGTACTTAAATACATAGACGGGCGTTCTGTTAGAGGCCTCTGTCGAACGGCAACTGTCTCCCCTCACACGAAGTTCTGTTGGAAAAGAAAATGGCGTGATAGACCAAAATATCGACTAATGATTTTTATGCAAGTCTAATTATGGGTAGCCCCCACTAATTTCCTCAGCTCTTCCAACATTGGAAACGATACTGGCACATAACTGGCTGTTCAACCCCGGTCTATTCGGTGGGGAGACAGATGGCAGATAGTTTGATGCAGGTTTCCTGCAAGTCTATCATGAGGCTGGCTGAAATCCCTAGACGTAACATTGACATTTGCCACTCGTCTTACTTGCTTTCTACAAGTAAGGCGGAAGTGATGATCGAGTGAGGTAGAATAGGCATCACATGGGTAACCAATTGCTTCAAATTACCCTGGCAGTTTCACGGAGCTTGACAACTAGTCATTTTGTGTTCCCCTTCACTCATACACCCGCAGATCCGAAACACTGAACGCCAACATGTGCAACGACGGCGCGCTCCTCATCGCTCAGTCGATGGTGCGAGATATGGACAAAGAAGCTCCCGCTCCTGTAGGGAATCTTCTGGAAGAGAATGTAATGCAGCAGACCGGCGACGATGTTTCAGTTTATGCTGGCACCATCATCACGATGGCGGCTGGTAATTTCAGCCCAGAGGAGGCAATGGCTATCAAGGGCGACACCATCATCGCAATTGGCACGACGGAGGCCGTCGACGCGGCCGTGTCGTCGATGCAACACACGAAGCGCGACCTCGGCACGCAATGCATTATGCCCGGCTTTGTAGAGCCTCACGTACACCTTCTCCTTTCCTCCTTGGTCGGGAAGGGGTCGCCGGTGATTGACATGTCGTATTCGGCGGTGAAGAAACGACACAAAGCCGTCGACCTAATCAAGAAATCACCACACTATGGCAACCCGTGCGAATGGATCATTGGCTGCGGCTATGATCCATCTTTGGTTGAGGCACACGAGCAATTTAAACTGGACGATCTCGACTGCATAGCGCCCCTCAACCCCGTCTTCATCCTCAACCAGTCTGGCCATCTTGCCTATGTCAACAGTCGTGCCTTCAAATGGGCGAAAATTGGCATCACGAACTGCGATGCAAACTTCCCCGAATGCGACCCAAACTACGAAAAGAACGATTCCGGCACAGCGCTCGACGGCGTACTCAAGGAGGGCGCCGTGACCACTGTGGCGAAATCTCTCCCGCAGTCCCCATTCATGATTGACAACCTTGCTGCGACACTCAAAGGCTGGGCAAAGAATGGCTGCACGACTGTTTTCGACTGCGGACTTGGCTCCATCTCGGGTTCATACAGCACAGAAATTTCTTGGATCAACAGCAAGACAGCCGGCGGCAAATTCCCACGTTTATATGGTGCCGTAGCTATCCAGGCAATTACTGATCTTCAGCAATTCATCGACAGCCAGCAACCCCCATGGGATTCTGGGTCTATAAGAGTCCAGGCCGTCAAATTCTGGCTCGACGGATCGACCCAGGGCTTCACCGCCGCGGTCAGTAAGCCTTACCTCAATCCGCCAAAGGGGTGGCCACCATGCGGGCCGCTCAACTACCCCTGCAACGACGAGAAGCACAAGCACGACGATGATGAAAAGCCTACCGACGACGAAAAGACGCTGCAAGGATATGTCACGCCGCTCGTGAAGGCAGGCTGGCAGATGGTGCTGCATGCAAATGGCAGCCGGGCGGTCGAGCAGGGTCTCCGCGTCCTTGGGAAGGCCTTGGCAGCCAGCGGCGATATAGTGAAGAAACCCAACTTCTTGCACAGGCTGGAGCACGTCACGGCCGACATCACGACCGACCAGCTGAGAGCAGCAGCTACGATGGGGCTCGCGGTGAGCCACCTGGTGGCCCACATCCGCACATGGGGCTACACGTTCCGCACCTGGGTTTTGGGGGCCGAGCGTGCGGCGCGCCTCGATCCTGTCCGAGACGATGTCGACCTTGGCGTCACGTACTCATTCCACAGCGACTCACCTGTGTCTGAGGCTGAGCCGCTGCAGTATGTCGACACTGCGGTGACACGGCAGATGGCCAATGGGTGTGGCGTGCTGGGCAAGTGCCAAACGGTGAGCTTGGAGGAGGGATTCCGCGGCATCACGTACAACCCGGCAAAGAAGTTGGGTGCATTGGCCGACATTGGCTCGTTGGAGGTGGGCAAGAAGGCCGACTTTGTCGTTTTGGGCATTGATCCACGGCTCGTGCATGAGGGGCTGCTTCGTTCCCAGTGCAGTGTGCTGGAAACGTGGGTTGGGGGTGTGGAAATCTAGTCGTTTAACGGAGTAGTACTGCGTGAGTACGGATACGTACATACCTAGGTAAGGTACGCTACAGTACCTTAAGTACATTCAGGTCGGAAAACTAAGCTGGATCTTGGGGATAATTGGAATTGTCAAGTGTCGCAACAACAAGCCCTCCCGACCCGAAGGCGTGGATGACAAAGAGGATGTCCCGCGCCCGTGCCTGTCATCCCTGAACCTGATTGGGTTTGGAAGCAGGGATCCGGCCGACGTTCTGGAAGGACACACTCGTCGGGCTGGAGAGTGGGGGATTGGATGTGCCCGATCGGTCTCCGGAGACCCCGCAAAATAGAGGCTATTTACTTGTAGACGTGTTTACTTGCTTGGTTAACTATTATATTGCGGCAGTGTGTGTCGTCGGCGCGCACACACAGCCAGGGCGCATGCACACACATATACACACACTGTATACGGGAGGCATTTAAAATAGTCTTGAGGTCTGGCGTTGTCTGGGTATATTTTCGTCCTTCAATCAATCACGATGGATGCACGAAAATGTCAAGTATATGTTTTCTATTGAGTATTACCCAGTTCGAATCGTCGCCTAGTTAACAAATGAATGCCACCTGTCTCAATTCCCAATACAATCGCATGTTCTAGCCGTTTATCTTTAGGGAACTAAACAATTAATTACGGGAATGTTAAAGTAATTGAAGGTTGCCTGAATATAAACATCTGGCTGGCTCCTCATCTGTATGGAACAATAAGCCTGGACAAGGTTGTATAGTGTAGCGGTTATCATTCCAGATTCTGATTCTATTTCGAGTAGAACTTTCTGGCGACCCCGGTTCGATTCCGGGTACGACCTATTTTTGCCTCTTGAGCCCTCGGATTGACCGAGGTTCCTCACCTAAGCTCTCGGAACCGAACAAGCATATCCCAGGTCGATGCCTGCACCTTCGTCGGTCGATGTGGAATTCTAGGTGAAGTCTAATTAAACTCCATGGGCTCTTGTGCGTTTAATGCCTGGAAGCTTGTTTCTTTTCTCTTTGTAAGGACTTTGCCACAAACGGAATCTCGTTGAAACGGGTCGAAATTTCTTTTACTTCTTCGTCTGATTTTGAATTGCTATCGTCTATCTAAGGGGGCAAGGAAACATGAGACGCGTCATCATACGGGAGACGCATCTCCCTTGCGGGCATAGCTGAGCGGCGGCAGCGCTGGTTCGTGTTCGACCGACGACGCCTCGACGGACACCGTGGCGTCCGACTTCTCCGAAAGCTGGCGCCGATGGTCAGCCATTTCGAAATTCATCAGCTGCCTGTCCATCTCGCGGTCCAGGTCCCCAACCGCATCTTCGCGGGTGCGTGGCTGTGACCTCAGGCGGGACCCACCGCCAGTCCTCACTCCCGTTCCGCCTTGCGATATGTAGGTGGACACGAAGCCTGGCGCCAGCTTGGAAAACAGTGGGCGCATGGGCGGGATCGAGACGCAGATGATTCCAAGACTGCACTCGATGACGGTCCAGTTCAGAGGGGACACCAGATAGTCTGTCGAATCAAAGTCAGAACGAGGCCGGTATTGACAATAGGGCCGATCGCAAATAGTGGATGAGACGAGGGCGGATAGAAAACGGCTGAGGCTTACATGTCACATCGATGCCTTGCATGTCTCGCAACGACACAATACGGACGACGCTGACAACAAAAGCACTGTTTGATGAGCGGTCATTAGCGAATCTGCCGTGAGAGTGAAGACGGCCGATGGAGGTAGTAGTTACATGAAGCCGACGCCAAACAGGACGCAGATGACGATCCTCTGCCTCAACGGCAGGTTGAGGGACCAGAAGTAGGGCAGCGGCGCGGCGACGAGGACGAGGTCGGTGGCGATGCTGACGGCGGCGTTGGCGAACAGGAAGTCGGTAAACGGGAAACACTTTCTCTCCGTAATGTTGAAGTTCCACGCCGCCTCGACGGGCAAGCACTGGAATATGGTGGCGAAGATGGCGCTGATGCCAATGCCCACTACCAAAACGGCCGTCCCGTACATGATCCGCCGTAGCGTCTCGTGCGGGAAGATGCGCAGGTACGACGTGATGATGGACAGCTTGGTGAAAGCTGTGGCGACGGCGTAAAACACATGCGCCACGAACATGAGCTGTTGTTGGTTCAGCCGATAATCGGGGTCAGATTCAACCAGGGGATTAATGGAGGGAACGGACCTTGACGCAGTGCGTGATCATGTCGACCATGTTGGAGATTGGCGGTGGCAGATTCCAGACGTGCATTCCGAGGCCGTATTCAGTAGCGGCGAGGGCTGTCGAGGCCGATACGAGGGTGAAGATGGCGGCGAAGACGGCAAGCACGTCATCGGCGAAGAAGTGTCGGGTAATGAAGGCACGCGTGAATATTCGGAGCGACACGACAACGCCGACTAGCACGATGAAGGTGAGGTTGACGCGCCATATCACCGGCGCCGATGTCGACCTGTCGCTCAAGTCGTACTGGGCCAGGTCCTGGATACTGGGGAAGGGGGTCGGAGTGTCGCGCTTGATAGAGAAGAAAGCCATATTTTATGCCAATGTCGCATTTGAGATCCGCAGGTTTGGTCACGGCAAATGTAAGGTAAGGGCCGCAGACATGGCACCTTTCCGGCGTAGCACTCGAGGATCAGAAGAGAACTGGGATGGCGAAGGGTGTCGAATTGACGTCGACGGAAAAGAAGGAAACACCTACGTACATAGTAACAGTGTAGCTATGGTCACGGTGCGCCACTGCGGTATTTTCCAAGACTTTTATCAGTCAGGGACCAGGACCAGGCTCGTTCCCATCTCACGTTTCCAGCCCGCTTTGACAATACCGACTTGTGGACGGCATTGACGGAATCGCATGGCGTTCCTCTTAGCATGGCCTCGGAGACCTTCTCTCTTGGATTTGCAAGGGGTCTGCAGCCTCTAGCAGCCTCTATTGGACGCCACACAAATGGTGTGGTCGGGCTTGGAGGAACAAAGTCCCTGGTTTCTCTGGATTCACGCTGCAGGCGGCTGCAGAATCATTTCCCCCGCGGCCGCGTTGGGCGTCTTTTGGTGTGAGAGCCAGAGGGGAACGTCCGGTTTCGTCTTGTCGCCTTGACTTTGTCACAAGCTCAGCCGCTCGCCGAGTTGCCATCACACCCTTGCTCGGCTTGCTCCGCACTGGTCTGTCTCCCTATCGCACTGTAGTATTCTGACGCGGTCAGATGTGCCTAGATGCGCGCTCGGACGATTGATGGTCGACCAAGCCATCTTTGGCAGCCCCTAAGCCGTGCGCAATCACTTTCCGGAACACTAGCCCGATCCTCATGCGAGGTTGGGTTCGGTCAGACCCAAAGATCGTTCTTGATGAATCGCCGACCTGGTCCTTTCTGGACAACAACCGCACGTGTTATCAGGGGGGGGGAAGCCAGGACCCTGACTATTTCTTGCAGTTCCTTAACTACCTAGGTACTAGTAATTACCTACCCGGCATTGGTGATGCAATTGCACTCACCTAGGTACGCAGGGTATTTATTTGTAACCTGCAAAAGTTTCTGACGACTCGCTCGGCAAGGGGAGAGAAATGGTGGCGTCTCATTTCTTATCGATTACCTACCTGTCCTACTCGATCAGTTATCTATCTACTTTGACTTCAAGCGGAATGTTTTCTCCCTCTACCACACCCAAAAGCCACGGTCAAGTTCTCGTCTCGCAGCTGGCGTAATAATTGGCTGTTGTTTCACTTCAGCTGGCCTGTGTCCTCCGGCCTGAATAACGGACTCTATGCCAAGGACTCGTGTTGTGACTTGATAGTCTCAACGCTCCGGTCGTTGCCAATGTGAGTTTTGGTTGAATTCCTTCTATCCGAATTCGTCGTCAAAAGCTCTCTTCTTGTTGAGCAATGCAATTCTGCAATTCAGCAACATGGTTATCTCGCCAGGTCCTTCAATTATAGCCATTGCAAGGTACAGGGTTAACTTGTTTTTTATACATGGAAATCGTTCTACGTAGCCCAAAATTAGCAGTATTATTGTATCCTGGCCTGCAACTCCAACTTGAAACTGCTTTCACCAGTACCACCTGATTAATTACATAGCTTCGACCTTCCTTTGGAGCAGTGGAGTGTTGCTTTACCTTGACGCATCACGAGCCCAGCCTCTCACTCGCCTCTCAGGTCTTAACCCATTGCTCCAGGCTGCCTAGCTACCACAACCACCCCCTGAATCAGCCTTGGCAGTCTTCATCGACAGGTCTATCAACCCTCCTCAATGAAAAACCATTCCCTTGTCTTGAGGAGATTCCTCTGCACCACCTCACTGAGGGTTTGCGCGATCGCTTCGGTCACGCTCGTCCTGGCCATGCCCTTATCGAGCGTGTAGTGGCGTACGAATTCGCCCTGGCAGTCGTCTATGACATCAGCCTTGCCGAAGAGACCTGGGTATCCATTTGCGTCGTTGCAGCTGATTTCCTACGAAGCATGTTAATTAGGTAAGATACACAATGCAGGCAGTCCGTGGCGCTTGATGGAGGAATAGTAGGCTAGCGAGAAAAAGGGGGTTGACTCACGACAATGTTGTCTCCGTCTGGATTGAAATCGTAACGAATGAATTCCGAGAATGCGCGTTGCTCGTGGCTCCACTTCGTCTTCCACTTTCCGCAGCCTGGGTATCTAGTCTCGTCTGTGCACGTCCTCCACGCGTCCATCATGTCAAAGGTGTGGCGGGAGCTCTGCGCCACGACGACGCCCGTGTTCAGCACAACCTTCCCCTTGCTGTCCATGCTCATCCCGTCGTTGCCCTGACGCGTGTCGATGGGCATGGCGATGGACGTATTGGGGGCGATGTTCCAGCGGTTGAAGAGAAATTCCATGGGCACCTCGAGGTGTTGGATTATGGCGTCGGCGTCGATGAAGACGACAAATCTGTACAGCTCAAGCATCTCTTTGAGGACGTGAGGCTTGATCCACGTGTCCCAGAGGCCATCAATGCGGCGTGCGTGAAAGTACTTGTATTCGTAGCCGTGTATTTGAGCTGCATTGGTGTGTAGTGTCAGCTTCGCTACATTAGCTAGGCGACTATGACAGCGGCAACAACCCACAGTACATATAATGGTTAACGAGAGACGCAGTCAGGACGCCGCCGCCGTTCGAGCTTCCCGTCGCCCAGTTGATCTTCTGTGGGTTGAATATCTCATTCGGTCCATCCGGGACCCTTGTATCGATGTCGATGATGACTATATTCTTCCCAAGGCCCTGTGTCCAGTGGCTGCGACCACCACTTTCGAACACCTTGCCCCGCTGGTCCGTGTAGTTATTTGCGTCGACGGGGACCTTAATGGGTCTGTAGAGCTCAGCGACGATGTCGGCAAATGTCGAGTGATCCTTGGGAGGAGAAGTTTTCGTCGAGCCGGCAATGGCCCGAAAGGGCGCCGCTGCGAAGCCAGTATAAAGAGCGGAAAAAGTGAACGTGGCGACGAGAAATGCGGCGGGTATGCAGAAGATGGCGATGCGCTGGGAGGCGGCAGACAGCATTTTGAAGGAGCGAGAAATAACAGGAAAGGAAAAGAAAGAGCGTGGCACGAAAATGGTTTGGAAAGGGTTAAACAACAACGCAAGGGAGGGAAATTCTGTCAACCGAGGCAAACGCTGGCAGCCAAGGGAGAAGAGCGAGGTAAGGGATGAGGTAAAGGGGGCGAGGCAAGGGGGAAGTGGAGTGAGGCGGCGGGATGATAGATGGACGGATGGAGGGCCCCCATCATGCCATCTGTTCTTCGGGCTCCTTCGTGTCCCTTTCCCCTTGTGGGTGTCAGGCTCCCCGGGAGCCAGACTCACCTAAACAAACAGCCAACAAGTTCGG